TAAAAAAATCGATTAATTATACATTGCAAAAACAGTTTGAATATAACCAGAATGTACAACATTATAGCAAATCAAATATTAAAGCTATAAAATACTGTCAATGATCCCACATTTTACTGCTATTCTCACAGCAAGGCCCGAAACAACCCGCATTAATGACGTTGAGAACACATGTAATGGACTACTGACGTAAAATGCAATTTTATTATATATGCGAGTCGCATTTTACCTTGTAATCAAATAAAAGGTGTAAAATGATTTAGAAAAAAAATCATATCTAGATCTTATCCTATTTCCATAAGAAGCGTCATGTATTTGGCAGTGGTGAAATTATGGTATGGACAGACATAACCATTAGTGGATGAACCGACTTCTAAATCCTGTGAAGTGGTACCGTTAATGTAACACACGTTATATGGATTACGTTCTATTAGTCTTTATGTTGCCATATACTAGTGTGATCGGATCTGATATCAGCTATTAGGTGATAACACACCCGTGCGTAACTCAAATTTACGTCTAGATATTCTAGACCTGGCAGGTCTTATAAGACATGTAACATCGCTTCAAATAACTCCAGACTCTAAAGTTGGCCCTGGAAACAACTCTTTCAAAAGAGTATGTTCGAAGATGAATGATCAATCATTTGCATTTCAGATCACATGAGGGACAACCATATATACATATATATGATTAGCGTCGAGTTTAACTCAGGCTGAGTAAATAACATTATTTTTGTAAATTACGTTTCATCTTGCTATAGCTAAACTACTATAAATCTGAATTACCTTTTAACTGATTGACTCAGAATCACAGTAGATATAACTTAAGACTCAATCAGTGTGTTATGGATATCAAAACTGACACTACTAAGGAGAAACAATTACTGAATGCTCACCAGGATGATTACAACACAAATACCGAGTTTAATGTTCATGACACCATTCACTCTAAATGCTCAAAACTTCAGATTTTATCAGTTTGCTATGGCATGTAGAATAAGGCTTTCAACCTCATTTCTGTCAGATAGCGCAAATAATAATAGTTAATTTAAACTTCAAGAATGGTTCTATATATATATATATTGACTAATTGTAAGAGATAAATACAGTATACAAATTATTGTATTTATACATATTACACGTGGGTTTACCACATTGGTACCTACAAACGACCGAGGTGAAAAGAAATACTTGTAACTCGGTTTTCACAATTCTCTACATAATTTGTCTAATTTACTTCAAATAGTATGTTCTGAACAATTTACTACATTAACGAACTATGTGGGTTTTGTAATCACAACTCTAATGTGACCATTCAAACTTATACATAAAAAAGCCAAATAACGCTGCGTAAACGGGAACTAAGTTGTCACAATATTCTTGATTTTAGTTTCTTATTTCCCAGTTCAAACTAGGTAATGTGAGCAACAATACTAGCCTATGAGTTTACTAAAACTGATATTTCGAAGCCTATTAGACTTGTGAGAAAATTGCACTGATTCATAAACAATTAATATGCTTCCACTTCAACAATACAGATTTCCATATCAACTGAGAATAAGAAATAGAACTTGATTGATTGATCAGTAAGTATCACTATAAGGAAACGCATTTTTATCGTTTTTAGGATACATGAAGACTTAGGTCGAGAGTACAGCCAGCTGCTGACACCTTTAGGAGAATGTAGTCAAGCTCTCATTACCTTATTAATCACTGGTCGGGCCACTCCATTCCTGCATAATGGTGTGATTCATTTTGGAGATGTGGACACAGTGGTGAGTTCTAATAGCTAAGTTTTATCTGAGAAATTTTGCATAGTACTACAAGTTACTCTGTATTTGATATAAAATATGTATGATCTTCAGACATTCATATTTTTCGAACGTTACAAGATAGCATTTCACTTGTACTTAGTTAAAAACTTGTTTATAAAATTAATATACTGTACCTGTTAAAGTGAAGATTGCTAGACCCGTCCTTGCTTCACAATCCCCTGTAAGTATGACGTCTTGTAGGTCTGGGTGTATCACTTTTCAATTAGAGTAATTATTGTCTTTAAAGTTGCGACAGTTAAGAAGGTAGATTGCTAGACATGAAGCTAACTTACAAAGTGTATAAACAAATCAAAGAATAAGATAAATTTATAATATGTTAGCTATGCCAAGGCAAAAACCAATGATGTAAAACAGTGTAATCACCTCCTTCAATTTTTATACTAATCAACCATCAAATGATCAGTTATTAATCTATAATGTAACTGATTGGTAACTGAGCCTATACGCGGAAACGAGAATTTAGTAGAAGTAACTTACTGTTTAATGATAATGTATTTCAATATGGAGTATGGTCACTACAAACACCAAGGCCATCATGACACGCCCACCAGTGGCACAGCGGTATGTCTGTGGACCTACAACACTAGAAACTGGGTTTCGATACCCGCAGTGAGCAGCCCACAGATAGCCCTTTGTGTAGCTTTGTGCTTAACTACAAACGAACCATCATGACACCAATGCTGCACGTATAAAATATGTGTAATGATGAACCATCATGACACCAATGTTGCACGTATAAAATATGTGTAATGATGAACCATCATGACACCAATGTTGCACGTATAAAATATGTGTAATGATGAACCATCATGACACCAATGTTGCACGTATAAAATATGTGTAATGATGAACCATCATGATACCAATGTTGCACGTATAAAATATGTGTAATGGTGAACCATCATGATACCAGTGTTGCACGTATAAAATATGTCGTCGACAACTCCTCTGAAAGAGCTGTTCCAAGATCATATTTTGTTTTGAAGTCTCTTGACTGGATGTGACAGATCTCTCAAAAGCATCCAATGCATGTATAATAAGACTGGAATCCAGCGAGCGTGCACGCTACTTTATTCAACCAGCCTCTTCGTCTTCAATGAATGCGTGTGCAGGTTTAGCGTGATGGGGATGTGTGATAGGTTACATTACGTCCAAGTTAGGACCAATTGTACTAGCACATGGCAGAACAAAGGGTCGTAATACATGATCCTTATAATACTTAGCATTACTGGTACCACTTTACAGAAAATAGAGATCACTACATTTATCAATTCTTTTCCTGCCCACACCACACTGCATGAAGATGGGTTTAGATATGGTTCCAAGTTCTTCCCAAATCAATAGACACTTGTTATCCTCCTGCAGGTTGAATCGTGACTCGTCTTTAAAAAGAATATCACTCCACATGTTGTTGGTTCACTGGATGTGTTCTTAGTACTATTGTAGGTGAGCTGTTTTGTGCCTTGTTGTGAATAAAATGTTCTTCACTTGGCATCTGACATACAGGCCAGACTTGTGAAGGCTTTTACTGACATACAGGCCAGACTTGTCAAGTCTGTTTCTATCACACAGGCCAGACTTGTGAAGTCTGTTTCTGACGTACAGGTCTGTTTATAACACTCATGTGGTGTCCACAAATTTACATTACACCATAGTTTATCTTCGCGGTGTCTATCACTGGTAACGATCCCCGATTTTTAGCATATTTGCCCTCAAGCTTATCGCTGAGCCGCTGGGAGGATCGTCCAGTTGTGGGTGCGAGCATCTGATTCAGTTTCAGAGTAGATACCCTTAGGCTATGGTCAGCATCAAGAAATAGCAGTAGTCTGCTCTTTTTCAGGAGTCCAAGCTTCTGTGCTGTTGGTTTGAAAATCAGTTCTATGTTCTGCTAACGATACTTTAAGATACTTGTAGCCAGTTTGCAGCTCCCTGCTGTAATTGGCTAATTTTCATTCTTCCTATGTTTATCTCTCCACATGATAGAAACATCGAAATATTTACTTTTAGGTCTAGCCACAGTTTATCAAATTTATAGTCTAAAGTTTGTGATTCACTTCAAAGTGATAACTAATACATAACTGTGTAAATCAACATCAGTTATGACTATGGTACGACAAATTTTGGTTGTCTTTTTAATTGTTTTTATGAAGTGTGCCTAGTTTTGACAGTGTAGAACCAGCCCTATAAGCTAGGGTTTTTAAACGGGATTTGAGTCACTTCTTAAACTCAATAGAAATATTTCCGGCTCATTATAATAATTCACATCGTGTTGATAATATCTGTCGTGTACGTTTACGTACAATTCAAGTTCGCTTCGAAATATTGTTCTATCTTTTAGAATACATTTTACAATAAAATGCAATACCTTAGATTTTTTGTTTGAATATTTCTTGGTGCTGATCATTTAACTTTTTTAATAGTAAAATCATTCTCTGCTTACTTTGTATTTTGTAGATGATGCAGTTCCATCATAATGATCAGCTGAAGTTTGTTCTCTAGAAATCCTTAACTTACTTTTTCTGATCAACTTAGCCCCCCCAGTGGCACAGCGGTATGTTTGCGGACTTACAACGCTAGAAACCGGGTTTCGATAACCCGTGGTGGGCAGAGCATAGATAGCCCATTGTTTAGCTTTGTGCTTAACTAGAAACAAACAAACCTGATCATCTTATATTAGTTCCTACAACTGTCTTTACGGTGACTGCTATATTTAATAGTAATAAAAACAGTTAGCTTTGTAATAATTAGAATGTGTACCCGAACTTTCTAGTATACTTTAGCTATATTTTGTAATATTTTTAATTTTCATTAACTAGTTTATGCAATTAATTTGAATTGTAATCTACAGTGATTAACTAGCTTTGATAATCGTAAAACTACTGTAACTGGCCAATTGTCATTATGATTTGAAATATCCATATTAGCGGTCAACTTTCTTTTTGTAATGTACAGAAGATTGTAACTGGCCAGTTTAGAGTATGTGCTTTAATATTCTTTAATAACGACCGATTTATGTTACCTGGTGGAATTTATTAGTTAACCTTTACTGCCCACCTTGTATCCTACTCTAATCGACAATCTGTTATTCTTTAAGCTTTATCATATTGGTTTTATTATCAGGCTAAGCCTCAAGTTGGAATTACAGGAAGAAGTGAAATTGGTTTCTTAGTTTGGAGAAGAAATGATGACTTATGTTCACAGGTATGAACTTTTACAGAGTGTTATAATTCTTTACTTCATTACTGTTTACTAATATATTTAAATACCTAAAACGCCAGTTTACATCTCAATAATGGTTGTAACTGTTTCTGAACCTAGACTTCTAGTAAGTGAGTAAATATCTTTATTATGTCTCTAAGAGATTTGATACAAGTGTTATGTAAAAGAAAATTACCGTCGAAATTGACCAATAAGCTTAGTGTCACCTTTTCTATTTCCAGCTTGGGAGTAGGCTGAAAACTCCTACTTTTCCAATCTGGGTTACCTGTGTAGACGATCAATATGGAGTCCTCTTTAACCCAAATAGAGATTTGACTAGGGATCATCGAGCAGAACATCGATTTGATCTTCATTACTTCAACAGCGCTCCTTATCACACTGAACCCACTATAATTAGTTTAGGTAAGACATGCCACAGCCATGAAAAAATCAATAATTACAATGAAAACACTTTCAGAAAAAAATGACATCGACAAAACTGCCTTTGTGTCATTTCTTTGTTGAGTTTTATTCTTCAATGAAGAAAGGAATGCATATTAGTTCAACTGCAGTCTTGGCCAAAATGTTTGCATATTTTGTAACTTTTGTAACAAATAAGATCATCATTATTACTGTGGAATAAAATACACTTAGCGCTGTCAAACAGAGAAATGCACGTTATAATAATTAAACATCTACATATGTAATTTGTATAATGAGACAAGTTCTGTGGACATAATGAACGATTTATTAGAACAGCAAACAATTTTATCAGTCACCTGTAGAAAGATGTGTAATTCAGTATTTCACCTATCACAACAAAACCTTACCAAAACAATTATAATGACGAAATATAATATCAAATTATTATAAATAGCGTCTGTAACTTTATATCAGTTCATATTAAATATTCAGTATTTGGTTGGTCCTCCTCGTACTCTAATAACCTCCACAAAGCGACGTGGCATACTGTCGATAAGGTTATTGGTGTAATTCACCGTGATTTCATCCCAACATTTCTGCCATACGCTAGGGCAAGGTTTGTGTTCCAGGATGACAATGCCACTACCCACAGTTCACGTATTGTACAGGATTATATCGACCAAGAGGATGTTACAAGATTACCACGGCCAGTAAAGCCTCCAGATTGCAATCCCATTGAGAACTGTTGGGCAAAACTGAGCCGGACAAATGATAACCACGACCCTAAACCAGCTACTTAGCTGAGTTGCAACACTTTCTAGTGACAACCCCCAGTGTACTGTATCGAGAACCCAGGAAAGTCTACTGGTAGACGCCGAAACACTACTGCCAGAGATGATCGTGTTTTAATCAGGTTAACATGTCAAGGTCGAAAAAAGTCTTGCAACACCTTACGACAGGAATGGTAGGAACACATTCAATCTAGTGTATTTAAAAGGACAGTGAATAGGATACTGACAAAACAAGGTTATTTTGCAAGAAGGGCTACCTGCAAAACCAATATTAACCAGAATTCGCCACTGTCATTGTGTTACTTGAGGAAGACAGCATGCCAGCTGACAGATGAGTCCTGTTTCCGGCTTGTTAAAGCCGATGGTAGGATTCTTGTTCGTTGTTTGCCTGGAGAACAGATGAGGGAAGACGGTCTTTCTCACAGGAGGTAATGCAGTACATGTCTGGGCAGCTATTCATCATGGTGAAAAAGTGCTCTTCGTATCCTTCAGGGAAATGTCAATAGCGCCTCTTAAAGCACCACATGGAGGCGATTACCTTACTGTTCTAGCAATGTCCGTTTACTTCTTACCATTTCTGGACAGTCGAACAGTTTAAAGTTTTATAACATCTGGCACGTGACGAGGCATGACTCTACACCAAGTACAGATAAATTGACTGAACAAGGCGTTAATCTGTTTCTAAAAATATTATACCAAAAGCACTCTTTTATATAAACTAGTTGAAGAGCAAATGCTCAAAACAACTTATACAGACCAGAATAACAACTCGTACATGTTTGTCCGATCATATGCTACCTTCTCTGTTACTGCTCGAGCATTTATTCAGCAACTAATCCATGCATGTAGACAATAACATCAATGTAAAACAGTATGCAAACATTTTGCCCAATACTATATTAATGTAATCAAAACTTATATGACTATTGCAGGCTTACGTTTTATATGTAATGGTGTGTATATATATATATATATTTGTTTTGTTTTGTAATGGTTCATATTCAAAACCTGAATCCGGAGTAAATTGAGTGTAATGCATTCATCATGAGCCGCGATAGTGGTTCATAATTGGGATCTCAAAGGGTCTCAAAAATCTAATAGAACATTCTGGCAAAAAAAAAAGATCTAATCTTGACACAACACTCAAAATCTTCCTTTTCAACAGTTAAAACCACTCAAACATTGATAATAAGCAAAATGAGTGATTTCACGATTGCTAGACAAAATCAAAATTTTGCCCATTAATTCATATTATTATTATTGGTGGTGTTGTTGTTTCACAAGCCTACAGCATAATTGGTTGGAAATTTTGCACCAAAACCTAGACAGGTAACCTATTTAATGTGACCTGTTGAAAAGTTGATTATTTTTCAACTGAAAGTTTATTTAGGTGGTTATAAATACATAACAGGTGTGATGTTCTGTAGGGCTGCTTTTGTACTCCAGGCGTGTTAAGCGCGTTTACAAGAATCTTCAGGCACAAAGCCATCTGGCTTAGTAAATAATTGCTTCAAAAGACACGAAGCTTCATTTAAAGCTTTTCTACTGGTAAAATTTTATACTTGCTTAGTAGTGGTTGTATCTTACTCTAGACATATATTTGCCCATTGCTGTACACTAAAAAAGCCAACATAGAAAATAATAAAAAAACTGAGAATTTAAAATCTACAAATAGTGATCGCAAAAAAGGTAACAAGCAAGGCTGGAGATCTAATCCTGACAGTTTGCTCAAGCTACAAATCCCTGCTATGACTCCACTATATAATCACTACAAAAAACTGAGAAGAGTTTTAAACTTAATTCGATCTCCTTAATGTTATCGTGCTGCGAAATTTTCTAAATCCTTTACTTTCCGCCATAAAGAAAAATCCGATATTTTCCTAGCGTGCGCGTTAGTTGGAAACTACAACTCGTACATTTTCTAGCACATTAATAGGAAACTGCCACGTGAAAGGTTCCTGAATTTCCTGATTTCCGCAACTTTTTAACACTGGACGATTAACATAGTAGATTTTACTACTCAGACAACGGTGGTGATTCTTTCTACTATTTCTTATACTTAGCTGAAATCGTGAGATCGTATTCAGTATTAATTACCACTGCGTATAGCACTATTTCATATAGCTATTGCTATTTTTAAATAGTTGGTGTTAAAATAGCGGTTGTAAATTTTGTCGATAATTGATGACTTACGCTAAGTGTGTGTCGCTGCTGCCTATTTCGCATGCATTATTTGTGTCGCTTTATTCTACCAAAGACTTGTGCACAGCAGGCTGTTGAAGAACATACATATATATGTCATGTAGACCTAACAAAGTAAGCATGTTATTGAATCTGTTTACATTGCATTAATCTGTGTTGTATTATTTTAGAAAAACATTACTCCGTTCTGATGAGATTGCTTTGTTGCTGCTCGTCTTTTGTTACATTACGCTATGACATTGATGGAAGCTGGTCATTAAATCTGAGATGATACAACCTTTGCTTTAAAGATGGTCCTTTGAGAACAAATTTACACTTTGTTTTTTGTAGTTGCATACCAGTATATGTGTTTATTCTTTGTTGTACAATTGTTATTTAATTTCAATAAGTTCAGTGTGATGGTTGGGTGGGGAAAAAAGCCAATGCAGCAGTAAACTGTTGAGAAACATGTAACATTCAACTGAACGCATATGCACGTATGTAGCTTAAAATATATTCTACATAAATGGACACTATATCTATTTTGACTCTATATCTAGAGCTCTTATCAATTTTAGTGGAGTCAAAATAAGGATTTGTGGCTTGATAAAATAATGTAGGCACTATTTCCAGCCTTGTTTATTTACTTTTTAGGATCCTTACTTGTAGGCTTGAAAATATAATCTTTGCATTTTGATTCAATTTGGTTCTATACTTTTTGATCCCTATTCCCCTCTTTGAATTAACAGTTTTTACTAATCTTGTATAAAGATATTAGAAGTTGTATACTAAATCTTAAAGTTAATTACTTAAAAAGGGGAGCCAAAAAGTATTTATTTAGCGGAATTTTTTTGTGTTTCAAATTTGTACTCAATAGGTCTTTTTCGAAACACGAGGAACCCTATATACAGACATTTCGTAAATCTAGCTCCCGATAGTAGAGAAATAGTGGTCAGCGCGTCCGAACTCTGACACCAGGGATTATTGATTCTCGTACCGTTAGTATAAAAACGAGCCCCCACTATTCGGTAAGATAAGGGTACTTTAAGAGTTGGCGGTGGGTGCTATTGAGAAGTTGTCGTCCCTCTAGTCTATCAATTCAAAATTAGCAGTGACTATTGATAGACAGTTGGGAATTTCTTCTTAAAATATGAAATATATTGTATTTCAAGATGTAAAACAGAATAAGAAAAAAACAGACTGTTCTCCAGTGAAGGTTATCAATAATAGTACCAGTTTGTTTTATTTTATTTTATTTAGATTTTCGAACAAAACTACACACGAGTTCGCTGCGCACGATAATCCATATTTTTGCACTTATAGACTAAAGTGAAGATGGGTAGTCAACAGCACTCACCGCCAACTCGTCGGCTACTTTTAGCTGACTGGATAAAGAGATTTGACCGTCACTCGCGCAGTCACGATTCTGAAGTCCGGAGCTCGTTTTTATGGCAACAGCACCTAAATTATGAATCTTCTGACTTGCATTACGGGGATAGTAACACTAAGTCGCACCTGGCCACCTAGTAGTAATATAATAACAGTTTTATAACGGTTGGTTGAGAACAGTGCTCATGATAATTTAATATCCCTTCGTTGGGTTTGAAAATGTGATTTTCTTCGTTAAAATTATACACCAGTCTAGGTTTGTTTTTTATGCATTCTGGCTACAACAGCAAGTTTTATGAAATTGCTGAATATGTATCCAATCAACTTTGTTTTACTATTACTCTTATGGATCGTACTGTTTTAAAATTAGAATTGGGTTGTTAAATCTTATTGATTAATTTTATAAAAAAATATGTATCTGGTTTTTGCTTGTGTTTAAGTACAATTATCTTAATTCCAATGACCTGAAGAGACGTTTTTTCAATCATATTTAAACCAGCGTTTAATTAAAGAAAACTTAAACACATTATACAAGCAATAAGAATCTCGTTGTTGTCGGCCACCATTGAACCGACATTCTCCAGTGATGTACTTTATGTTAGTTAAAACTATTTTGAAACTTAACGGTAGCAGGGATGATTGCCATTACATTGACATTGGTCCAATTGTTATTTCCTTTTACTCTTTAACACCTCTGTGTCTCCAAAGACAATGGGTCTATGTTATTTTTCTATTAATTGTATTAATAGGTCTACGAGGCAGCTGGGCCACTAATTTAAAAGTTTCCCAAGATAGAAAGAATAAATGGTTCTTACTATGCAGGAGCCATACCAAACATTTTCCTTTCAGGAGTATTTTTATTTTTAGAGGTAGTCATTCATCAAATAAAAACAAACAAACATACTCTTAATTTATTATAAATGACATAATTATTTTTACCTTTTACATCACTAGTTATCCATGACATTAAACTTTAGCAATAGAATGAAATGTTTTACCTTCTCTGGGTGTGCAAATATACAAGAACATTTCCCGATGTTTTGTTACAAAACACGTATTTCACAGGGGGAAAAAAGGAATCAGGCATTTTGTAGCATCACGTGTGTTCAAGCATTTATATAAATGGGCGCTAAAATCTGCATAAATTTTAGAACAATTACTTGTAAAGTATAAATTTTTAATTTGTTATTTTTTCTGTGATGTTTCTTTCATTCCATTTCTTAGTTAGAATGTTTAATATGTCTATTTTTATTATAGAATTGTTTATATATTGTTAGCTTAGCATATAGAATTAGGACTAACGTAAATCGGTTTACGGCCGAAAATATCGTTAAAACGAAGGTACCCAACTGATAGAAAAATACATCCTCATCTTTATAAGAACGTAAAAACATTATATTTAATTAACTATACTCATTACTGGTTTGATTTTTACTGTTGATCTGAGTTGGTAGCTTGCTTTTATCACAAATTAGTATTATTACATACAGAATTAATACTTCGAAAAATGTGTTTTTCCCTCAACAGATACCAGATTTAACAAATCTCAAGAAGAATATGGTATCCCTCCACTGGAGAATCTTATCCTGACCAAGTAAGTCAGATTATTTCATACATCCGGTCACCTCACGAATTTAATTTGCTACTATTAAGGCTTTATTGTGATTGTAAGATGAACCTTGACAGTGCATATTTTGTTTATTGCTGGGTCCGAGAGTATATCGTAGCATTATAAATATTTTAAGTGAAACATAAGACAAAACTAAATTTGAAACACAAAAGGTTAAAACAATTTCATTAAAACCAAACGGTTGAAAAAAACCCTGTAAAACGTTTCAACATGGTCCATTGTCTTCCTAATTGTATATTTAATATATTCTATTTTATTTATTTTTAATATTTATTCTATTTTTTAGTATAGAGACTATTTTGCATTGTTATCTTCGTATACGTATTTAGAACTAACCTCAGTCTCCTAATTGATCGAATCTCGTGTGACATTGTTGTGTATTTGCAAAAATATCTAATTTATGAAATAATGGATTTCTAAGAACACTATATATAGTCACTGAAAGAGATACTAGGCTGTGTTGAAACGGTTGGCAGGGATTCTAACCATTTAGTTTTAATGAAATTGTTTAAACTGTTGTATTTTGTAATTAATTTTATCTGGTGTGGTACTAAAATATTTTTTAATATTATTTACTTAGTCTTTTTAACTGTGCTTTATATCGTAGCATAATTTTAAAGTATCTAATTCTTATTTCACCGAAATAGAAGCCTACAGCATGTAATTATATTATGTTACAGATGGCAAGGTGCAACAGTTAATTGGAATGGGACATCACCTGTAGCATAACCAGCTTTTCACTGCATCCGTGTGAGCAATGTAAAGGAATCCATGTGGATCATACTGCAGAGAAAATTAGAAAATTTAAATAATATTTTACTGTCAATATAAATGTATATAGTTAGTGCTTATACACTATGAACTTAGAAATAGTCTGAGCTATCATTAAACACAACAGACACAGCAACTGGATAAGTTTGTTATATTTATAACACAAATTGAGGAGATTTTCTTACCATCAGACTAGAAAGAGATACGGGGGTCTTGTCAGAAGAAATATTCCAGAAATCAACTATTACTATGAACAGAAAAGAAAATCAACCGTAGTAACTCATGTATCTTTTTTTTTTTACGAAAGGTCAATATTTTTCTATAGTTCCTTCACCAAAAGATAAAGATATTTTTAAGCTTGCATATTCCGTTAAATTATGTTTCCTTCGTAAACTTATCAATCCGTTAAAATTCCTAAAATTGTAAAGTTTGCTACTTTTTTTCTCGCAGGAAACAGACTAGACTGAACACAGAGAACAACAGCGATGGTATCCCCTTATATTAATAATAGTTACCACAATTTCCATTGTGTAGTAGCATATTCTCAAAGTGTAAATATCTTTTGTTGAAATATTCACATGGTCTTATCAATGCTATTACAAAGCTGAATGTAATGATTATCAACAATAAACTTTATCTTCAAAATAGGCGAAGGTAAAGTGCTTATATTTGCTTCTCAGTGGAGTGAAATATGTCTTCTGTATTATTTTACCTTAGGCACCTTGATTACTGATAATCCGTACTAACAGATACTCACCAGTAAGAGGGAGAAGGTATGATTTAAGCTGATAAAGTGAGCCAAGACATGTTCACACAGTGTATAATGAATTAACTACTTGTCGATGGAATAGCATGTGCTCTAATTTTTAAAAAAATGTTAAAGTTAAACATATAAAAAGTTTTCACTTAAAATAGAATCATAAATTGAATTACTCAAGATATTCAGATCAGTGATAATGTTAAATGTAGCAACGTTGAGTGAGGTCTATTTCAATAATTAACTAGTAAGGAAACAATAAATAAAAGGCCCATGGTATCAACGAAACAGCAAACTTTGGAAGAATGCAAGCTTGGCGAGTTTTATAAATCAGAAAAACAACGTGAAGTTTTGCTCTGATTAGTATTTGCATTATTCCTTCTTTCAACGTCGATCCAGAAACAAAGAATGTCCAATAGCTTGCCGAAATATCTGTTTTAGATTTATGAAAATTAGGATAAAAAACTGATTAGCTTTACTCAATCTAAAAAGATGCCAAAAGCTCTGAAATATGGGTTTTATTGTTTAACGTTTCTATTGATTTCGTTCCTTTTTAAGCGAGAAGGAGAGGTAATATTTTACATATCACATGCTTTGAAATTACAAAAATGTTTAAAATGTATTGTTGCAATTATTTCTTATGGTTAAAGATACAATGTTTGATTTCACTAAAGCAAGTAATTTACAATATTCTTGTTTTGATCAGTATTAGTCGCTCTATAAAATTACTGTTAAATATCTAGAAACTAAAATATTCATGTGGCCTACAGAAGCGTGACACTCTTCTTTTCAAATCAATGTGTACAGTGTTTTATTGTAAGAATGTTTTCTTCATAGACCCCCCCAAAAAAAACAATTGTGACTCAGTATAGAGTCAACTTTAAATTAATTGCATACTTTGTTCTCGACAGAATGACACTCTAAATGAACAGCGTTACTTGTAAAATACAAGGCAATGTTCTATCTCTTAAAAGACGTGAAATGTTTTTGCTTTTATTTACCTCATTCATTGCATTTAAAACCGCGATTCCTTTAAGGTTAAGTTGACTTTTAATTATTATTTTCGTTACAGTTTTGTGCGAATTTTGTGAACTATAAGAAAAAAAAGTCTCACTAGTTACGAGATAATAATTTATGAAATATAATTAGTTTCACTTAATAATAAAACACTTGCACATTTTTAGGTTAACATTTTTAGGGTCCAATTTAAGAGGTGCAATTTTAGATATCGCTAATATTAACTCAATATCATCACAACAACATCAGCCAACAAAAGAGTGAAAAACCTCGTTGTTTATCTTCATGAATTAGTATCCTTCACATTTGTTGATAAAATGATACTACAGATGTTCCGCCCTAAACAGCGTTTTAGATGTTACGTGTTCTGAAAAGTGGAAGGTCATTTGAGGCATTTTATCCATGACATTTGTAAAAAAAAAGGTTTACATAAAGATTTATATTCCAATGTGGTTCCTGCCGTTATTATCATTGCCTACTCTACACGAAAAATATTTGAAAAGAATTCCGTTAACTAGAAAGTAAAAAAGGCCTCTATAAAATACATATTTTCAATAAAAGATTCCGAGAATCTCACTAGTTTGGAAATAATAGATATCAACATGCATTCATTCTATGTTTATGCTAACATTTTATATTAGAAATAGAGTGGCAACTAATTCAGCTGTAACAAACATGTTTATTTAGACAGATATAGTATAAGATATAATAACAAATATCACGAACACATTTACTTATTGTATGATATATTTTGCAAATATTTCTTTATTTAATGTATAATTCTGTTGTAAATGAGAGTTTATTATAACATAAAACTAATGACCTGTGGCACTTTGTTTGTTTTTTTTTTACTAAAGGCTTTCAGTTGTAATAAAAAAGAGACGATAACATCTTTAAATTAAAGGTACTTTGGAATTATTTTCTGCACTAGTTTTATGCACAATCCGTGAACACTAAAAAAGGATTTCACTATACTTATGAGATAATAAGTAATACATGAATCTGGGAAAGGTTCATGTTATAGTACTATAATATTTGTCTTTTGAATAATTCGTGCAATATATCATAAATACTGATAAATAGAAAGTACACTAGACATGAAAATTTACCCTGGTGAGACAACGGTAAGTCTATGCACTTATTATAAAACTAAAATCCGGAGTTCGACTCCCGCGGTAGACACAGCAGGTAGTCAAATGTAGTTTTACTTTAAAACAGATGTGAAACTTTAACTGTACATTCACTATGATACAAGAAAAATTGCAATTAGAGTAGTTCTTGTTCGAAAATTGGTCTTCAAATTAATCTATCAAGGATATACTTTCACGTTCTTTTTATTTTACCTGATATTTATAAAACATTAATATCTTTATTATATTATTTTAACCAATCAAAATGTTTAGAAGCCTAGTAAAGAAAACTAATCCTTACGTCTGACAACTAGAATAACATTTCTGGAAACATTTTATAGAGAAATATATTAGACAGCGCCACAAACATATCTTTTCTTTATGGTATTGTGATAAAATGTCTAAATCAAAACGTGATAAACATCGATTTAAGTACATAATTTCATTACATGTAGTATCGTTCTTGGGTTATATTAGCTACTGATAATATTGTCTAGGTAACTGTTGTAACAATTACCGGTTTCTATTTATATCTAATCAAAAACACGTTAGGTGTGTGGAGGGGGGGGGTAAAGGTGAGGCCAATGCTAAAGCTAATGTTGGTTACTATCGAGTGTCACTTTCTTACTTGCTGTGGTTTCTTGTATTGTATTGTATTGACAAAAAGTCGTGACATCTAATCAAAAACATTAGGCGTGAGAAAAGGCGCGGCCAAAAAAGGATTGAACATGCGAATTAAAGGAATGAAATCAAAATTTGTGACCAAGCTGGTAGCTACACTTATAGCATTGATAAGAATTTTACAGAAGATATTCATTCATTCATTAGTTAGCCACGTATTTTGTTTTACCCACCATCATGCCCAAAGTTGAACAAAATACACGGCCTAGCTAACTAATGAATGAATATCTGTAGAGAACATCCACTGAAAATATATGATCGTTTGGATTACCACAGTCCGAGCTACAGAAAGTGAAAAATTGCTAAACTATCATTCCAGTTTGTAAGACGCGGTGTGTCCTGCATGTTGTTTTGGCCGCACAGCACACTATCCGGTGGCTCAGCGGTACGCCTGAGGGCTTATAAAGCTAAAAGTCTTGTTTCGATACCTGCTGTAGGCAGAGCACATGTAGCACATTGTGTACATTTATTTTCCCTAAAATATGTTTTATACTAGCATAAAACTTACTTTCATTTTATCGATATAATTAATAAATATTAAGCCATTGAAAAATGAGTAGTTTTATTATCTTGAATTATTGCATAATCTTGGTTCTGCCATATGTAGTCTATTCATTTGGTATAAATATTTAAATTTATATATGTTCTTTGATATATTTGGTAAAGAAATATGGCACTATTTCCAAAAGCTTTCTAACTCCAGAATACAAATTGTTCTCCTTTATCTCTTTTTATAATTCTTTTGGGATCCAAAAAGAATACGAATAACAATTCGGTCTTAGATTTTTGATATATGTGTTAGAAATGAAAAGTTTCTTCTTACAGGCTGGTTCCCTAGTAGCACAGCGCTATGTCTGCGGAATTACAACTCTAGAAACCGGGTTCGATACCCGTGGTGAGCAGAGCACAGATAGCCCATTGGGTAGCTTTGTGCCTAACTTCAAACAAACAAACAACTCTTCCAGGCTGAAATTACGGGTAGAAACTACTGGTATATCATCAACTTCTACGACGTGTATAGATATGTGAAACTATTAAAACTAAGAAAGCTAATATAAATATATAGTGGTTAGAGCTTGAGGGCAGTTGGGAGAGCTATGGTTTTAACTCATTTTTATCTTCAGCTCTCTGAAACTGTCGTTTAAGAGGGAATATTTAAAAAAAAGATTTAAAGCCTACATGACTGTGTATACTATTGAACAAAATTGTACCTTTGGTAAAGCTGGAAAGAAATATGTAACACATATAAGTAAGATTTGTTTATATTTGTCACAAAGACACTATTATGACTGATTAATAATTTGAATTAAATTACGCTATGTGAATCTATTGCATTAAGTTCAGAAACTAAATTCCACACTTGAAGTTCGAAACTACTGTTTATATTAGGTTATGGGAATATATTACATATTTTTAGTGAAGGTGATTCTATTGTTTATATCGAACGAGAAAGCTGTCTTTGTTTTTGCCCCCCCCCCAGTGGCAAAGCGGTATGTCTGTGGACTTACAACGCTAGAATCCGGGTTTCGATACCCGTGGTGGACAGAGCACAGATAGCTCATTGTGTAGCTTTGTGCTTAATTACAAACAAACAAAGAAACTTTGTTTTTATTTATCAGTTGGGCATACATAACAAGAAAATATATTGATTGTACTTATACTAATGTAACTAATGGAAACCATTACATATATTTAATAAAACTAAACTGATTGGCATGAAACTGTTGTTTGTATTTGTCACTATTGTTTACATGTGATAACAAAGACTGTGAGGTATTGTATAAACCGGTTTTATAAAATGCCATAAGCGTTCTAGTAAAAACATTACCTTTCTATACTGGGTGTTTTTCTTGTTCTTCCTTTGTTCATTGTAAAATGTGTCGATTAATCAAAATACTTAAGCAACAAAAAAAATTGTGCAGGCACACGTGCGAAATTTTATCTCCCTGAGTGGCCATGAATAGAAAGATTTGGTTTTGGAAACGGTTTGATT